GGGGATAATTTCCTATCCTTCTCAGTTAGTAAGAAACTTGACACACTCCATTCTTCCAGCTTAGGAGACTCTTCAGAAGAATATCAAACAATGAAGTCTTGTAGTTACACCCCAGCATACCCACTCTTCCTTCGCTCCTTACCTTCTCCACATGCAGGGCTGAGTGGGGACTGAGCCACCGGATGTCTTTCACAAACTGCCAGTAATCTGTCTGGCGGCAACACACCTGAGGGAACGCACAGGGTAAGCAAATCACTACCATCTGGGGCCAAATCTAGTTCTAGTGTTGACATTCAAAGAGAGAAAAAAGGGCATAACTTTCACCTGCCTCAGCAGCAATCAAAGGAATACATACATATTTTCATCCCTTTAAAGAACAATTCTTAAAATTTATTATCATAATTCTTTTGAACAGGTAATACATGCATTGATACAAAAGGTTATGCAAGGAGATTTGACTCCAGGCATGACAGCGTGAGGAGCTCCATTGACCCACTGCGCAATGAGACTGGTGAAAATTACTTAAAAAAAAACAATCATTCAAAGCATCTGGAAATGGTCCTGAGGGAAAACAACAAATGAAGAAACATCTATTCAAAATAATCTACAAAAATTCGGTAACAAAGCAAGAGTGTGTGGTATTTAAACCAAAACCATTCCTCGCCCGTGACCCCATTCTAGCTCAGTGGGGCAGAGACTCCACTCCAGACTGCTGGAGCCAAGAACACAGGGCTCCCTCTCCCCTCAGCTCCCGGCTGAATAGCTCTTTTCACAGGAGGGGCAGGACTTGACTTCAACATTTCTCATTCCGCCCCCAACTGCCTGTTGCTGAGACTAAGTCCAGGGCACGTGAGGTCGAAACGTGGGGGCTCCCTTCTTCCACACAACCCCTACTCACGGAACAGAGGCTCTACCTCAGGCGTGGCATGCTGAGAATACTGGGGCCCTGATAGTCTCCTCTGGCTCATGAGTTCCATGCCAGGAAAAGCAAGTCAAGCAGACCCTAGGTTGCTACCCCTCTCCACTGGATGCTTAGCTCCGAGAGCAGAGGAGTCACTCAGAGGGAAGACTACCCTTGTTTCCACCCCCAAGTCCAGAGGCCCGCCTCAGAGATTTTGTCAGTGCGGAGAAGCAGGCCATAAAACGGATTGCTACTAATCTCTCCCAGAGGGAGAGGAATTGACTTCATTTGCAACAGAGCATGGGGAAATTTAAACTTAAAGAGAGCTCTCAAGAACAATGGAGGTTGTAGTGGAAGGTAACCGGGTGGAGATTCGTGGATCTAATGAAGACACAGCCTAGACTTTAGGCCTGCTAGTTCTTAGAGAGAATAAACAATAAAGCAGCTGGGAGGAGCTCTCCCGGGGTCAAAACCAATATCACACGCATCACTTACAAGGGAACTTCAACAAGATTAACATCTGACTTCTCAGCAGAAATAATGCTGGACAAAAGGCAGTGGAATAACATATTCAACTGTCAACCAAGAATTCTATATCCAGCAAAGCTATCTTTCAAAGTAAGGGCAAAATACAGACATTCCCAAATAAACTAAAACTGAGAGAATATACTGCTAACAGAATGTCATGGATTGAACTGTATACCCCCAAAATATCTGTCAACTTGGCTGTACCATGATTCCCAGTATTGTGTGACTGTCCACCATTTTGTAATCTGATGTGATTTTCCTATGTGTCGTAAATCCTATCTCTATGATGTTGATGAGATGGGATTAGCGGCAGTTATGTTAATGAGGCAAGACTCAATCTACAAGATTGGGCAGTGTCTTGAGCCAATTTCTTTTGAGATATAAAAGAGAGAAGCAAGCAGAGAGACATAGGGGACCTTGTACCACCAAGAAAGTAGCACCGGGAGCAGAGCATGTCCTTTGGACTGGGGTTCCTGCACAGAGAAGCTCGTAAACCAAGGGAAGATTGATGACAAGGACCTTCCTCCAGAGCCAACAGAGAGAGAAAGCCTTCTCCTGGAGTTGGCACCCTGAATTCAGACTTCTAGCCTACTAGACTGTGAGACAATAAACTTCTGTATGTTAACGCCATCCACTTGTGGTATTTCTGTTATAGCAGCACTAGATAACTAAAACATAGACTCATCTCACAAAAAATACTAAAGGAAGTTCTTCAGGCTGAAAGCAAGTGACCCTAGGCAATAATTCAAATACACATGTACAAATAAAAAGGCTATGTAGTGAAAATAATCTGTTTTCTACCCCCATCTCTCTACCATTCAGTTCTGTAAAATGTAATTCTTAAAAACGGGGGAAGACGTATTTGTTAAAAGCCAGAAATGGATGTCTTCAGTTCCTAATGCAAGCAAAATTAAGTACAGAAAGACTTGCTTCTTCCATGCAATTCAGGTAAGGGCTATATTTAGAGCCAAAGAAATGCTCAGCCTGAACATAATAACAGACTTACCACTGAGTTGATTCTGACTTACAGCAACCCTATAGGACAGAGTAGAACCGTCCCATAGGGTTTCCAAGGCTGTAAATCTTTACAGAAGCAAAGTGCCACATCTTTCTCCCGCAGAACAGCTGGTAGGTTCGAACCACCAACCTTTTGGTTAGCAGCTGAGCACTCTAACCACTGTGTCATCGGGGATCTTTGAACATACTAACAAAATTTTTCTATCATGAAACCCTATTTATGTCAGTTGTACTTGTTATCATTTCGCAGTTACATGACTATGCACATTTATGAAATGAGTGTGGTTTTATGAACACTAAGTAGTATGCTCTGAAAAGCCTCAACAAAGGTGAGTCACCACGAAAACTTAGTATCATATTAGGTGGGGGCAAGACAACTTTCAGAGCCCTGGTGGCACAGTGGTTAAGAGCTTGGCTACTAACCAAAAGATCAACAGTTCATATCCAGCAGCTGCTCCTTGGAAACCCTAAGGTGCAGTTCTACTCTGTCCTATAGGGTCGCTATGAGTCAGAATCAACTCGATGGCAACAGGTTTGGTTTTTGGTTTAAGGTGACTTTCAAAGTTAGGCAAAAGAACCCTAAACACTTAGAAGGTTTTGTATCCACATTACAAGATCTTTAAATTGCTGGTTCAGTACAAAGAAACTGAATCTGGAAATCCGATATGATGTATCATGGGTGCATTTTATACAAAAAAGATGATGTGGAACTCCATCAGTGGATCCACATAGAAAAAGTTTTGCTCCTATACTCAAAGATTGCTGAATGAATGTGAATGTACATTTTTTCGTGTGCGTGCTTTAGGTGAAAGTTTACAGCTCAAGTTAATTTCTCATACAAAGATTTATACACATATTGTTTTGTGACATTAGTTGCAATCCCCACAGTGTGACAGCACACTGCCCCTTTCCACTCCAGGTTCCCTGTGTCCATTCCACCAGTTCCTGTTTCTTCCTGCCTTCTCATCCTGCCGCCGGACAGGAGA